GTTGCCATTGGTTGCAATCTCATGTGAACAGGATAACTGATAGAAAATAATTTGTAAGAAACAAAGAGGTTCTGGGAATTTGAGGGATGGCATACAGGAAGCAAACTCACACAGGTGGTTCTTATCAATGACTAGTATTCAGGAGACATTTTCACTAATGACGCTGAATCTCAAATTATAATATGTGCTTTCAAAGGCTCACTGCATCACTTAACCAAATAATCAAAATGTGTGGCCTTGAGCAAATTAGGTTTTCTGTATTTTCATGTTCTTACCTGCAAAACTGAAGTTGTAATTTATCTCCTTCAAAGGGTTGTCATTGAGGATTAAGTGGAACAGTATGTATAAGATGCATAAGGTGTTATTTTTTCATATTATATATTATTACTATTATTATGGAATGACAAGTTTATTACTTTCATATATATAATGAACCTATGGTTTTGAATGTTTTTGATATTTCTGTAAATATTCTCTAAAAACATTGTCAATGATTGTATTGATCCTCATAAGACTTGGATAGAAGTTAAGTGTCTCATTGACTGCCATACCTACAGTGGTTCCACTTGGGATTTTCTTTTTAACTTTACAGTGGTGTGAAAGTTGAACATTTGGTAGAAATTATAGTTTGAATGTTGCATTTTAATCTTTTCTTGGATTATCAGTGTGGGTGTGATATGCTCTCACAGTGCTGGGCAGCAATACTCTCCAATGTGATGTGTTTTGTGATTTTTGCTTTTGAATATCCAGTAAATGACCTGAACCACCAATCAGTTTATTATAAAATAGGCTATTGTGAGACAATTTTGTCCAACTCTAAATTAGTGTACATGTCCTGAGTGGTCTTCAGGTAGCCCAGGCTACCTGTGATGTTTGGTAGGTTAAGTATACTACATGCCTTTTTAGTTTGTAAATATTTTCAGCTTGTATTGGATTCATTGGTGGAAACTAGATAATAACTTAAAGAACATCTTTCCTTGTGTCAGGATACCAGTCCTCTCTAAAGAATGTGAGGGGAATGGCTACTTCTGTCACATCATTTCATGGAAATGGGATGAGTTTTAGCAATGAACTCAATTTGCTTTTAAATCTCCATTTCCCTTCAAATCAGTAAAGACAAAACTATGAGGCCGAGCAAGATCTGCAACTCATCTTTCTTGGTAATCTTGTTAGTGCCCATATAGGAGAGAAAAGAATCTGGTTTTACTCATTAGGATTTAGCAACTATTAAGAGGAGTGTCTCAGGATGAAACATGAACACTTCCAGGAAGTCATCTAGAGCAAACTGTGTAGGGGAGAGGGAGAGCACCCGCATCATTTAAATAAGAGTGAGATAATACAAAGCTTTTCTCATCCACAGGGATCCTCTTTGATCTACTTTATCTTTGACATTCTCCTACATTTATTGTCCTTTACATACAATTACATAATCCTTAATTATATCACATCCTGCTGTTCAACTCCATGTGCATTACTCACATCTCCCCCAAGAGATTGCAACAATTTGAGAAGACAGGTCATATTTCCTTTTTTTAAAAGACCGATGTGCTTGGACCGACAGCCTCGAAAACAATACAGAGAAACCCTGTCTCGTAAAAACCAAAAAAAAAAAAAAAAAAAGACCGATATGCCAAGAAAAGCAATAAGCTAAGTGCCCATTTATGAACTAAGAAAAGCATAGACTGCTTAGTTGGATGTTTTGGAAAACTAGTTCATTAGTGTTTAAAAACTGGTTCCCTACCTGACGTCACATTTGAAAGTATTCACCAGATGAATTAAAGACCTAATACTAAATATAAAATTATAAGGTTATTAGAAGAAAATGCAGTTAAATGTTTTTATCATTGACAAAGAGGAGAGGACTATTAAAGACTTTCCAAACAGTTACAAGGTGAAGAAAATAGACGTGATTGCATATATTCCATTTAATCATCAATACACATAAAAGAAAAAGAGTGTGGTATCTATGAGAAATGCACACACTAGAAATTATATGCAACTCCTTAAAAATGTAAATGAACAACAAAAATAAAAATGTAGGCAAAAATATGTGCAGAGAATTTGTAAAAAGAAAAATGCCAAAAGAAATGAGATACAAATTTTTGATTTGGAAAATGCAAATTAAATCATGCATGAGGTAAGACCTTTACTAGTGCGTGAATTTATGCTTAATGAGCATACTTTCTGCTTCCAGAAACACTTGTACATGTTGATAATTGGATAGGGAGTGTATGTTTAGGGCATTTGTTGTAGAATATTATTTTAAGATGTGTTACATTTGTTTATGCTGTGGAGTATTCGTTTGATGTTGCAAAGATGTATTGCATTGTTTTTTGCTGCATTTGTTTAACTCTGTAAAGACGTTTAACTCTGCTTTGCCTGTCTAAAACACCTAATTTGCCTAATAAAGATCTGAATGGCCAACAGCAAGGCAGGAGAAAAGATGAGCAGGGTGAACAGGCAGAGAAAACAAACACGACAAATCTGGGAGAAAAAGATCAAGGTGCAAGAAAAGAAGGGCCAGCCAGTCAGACACACAGCCAGATACAGAATAAGAAGGGAATAAAAGATATACAGAAGTAGAAAAAGGTAAAGGCCCAGAGACAAAAGGTAGATGGGATAATTTAAGAAAAGCTGGCTAGAAATAAGCCAAGCTAAGAGGTATCAAGCAAGTAAGAAAAAGCCTCTGTGTATTTATTTGTGAGCTGGGCTGTAGGCACCCAAAAGAGTCAACAAGTAAATAACTATCAACAACAAGCATTTCTTACAATGATTGACAAAAACAAGGGTTAGGTATGTCAGACCCAAACTATTATATGTAAGTTAATAGCAATCCATTCAATATACAATCAGTAACGTGGGTAGTTCTTTCTAAATGATCTGCACAAAAAGAGAATGGAACAAAAGTGATTTATAACAAAAAAAGGTAAGTTTAAAGTAGGGTCACAGAAAAAAAGTGTAGTTTTGAAAGAATGATTCCAAACAATACAAAATATACTCATGAAACAGAATGGTGAAGGGGAAGAGATATGTGTGTATTTCATGAGGATAAAAAACATTAAATATGTAGCATGGCACATGGCTCCTTAACTTAGTTGGTTAAAGTACCTATCCCATTATACACATACACACACACATACACACACACACATTGAAATATATGTATACATACTTATATACACAAAAGGCTCTCTATATGCCCATGACAATAATATGTCATTATTAAACTCAGTTTCTATCTCTGATGTACTTACATGCCTAGAAACTCACACATCACTTACCTTTGAAGATACACTTTCAAACACAGGTTTTGTTATACTTGTATGTCCAAGTTTTCCTATTTTTAATTTAAAATTTTTTAAATAATAAAACCAGATATAGCAAAAACTGACACATTGGAATTGGACAAAACAAACCAACAGAAGGAAAAGAAACTAAGAGAAGACACATGAATCAGAGACCCACTCATTTGCACACTCAGGAATCCCATAAAAGTGCTAAATTGGAAGTCATAATATAGATTCAGGGGACCTAGTGCAGACCCATGCAGGCCCTGTGCATGTGCTTGGTCTCTGTTAGTTCATATGCTGCTCATTTATTTTCAGATCTGCTGCAATCCTATATATTGAATTCAGGAAAGGTAGAGTTTATTAACTGTTATGTATTCAAACAATAACAATAATATTGAATGTAGACTAAGTAAGATGAATTTTAAGGTTCTCAATAAGTAATAACATTTTGTCATTCAAAGAATTTATTTCAGGTAACACACACATAGTAGAAAGTTTTATAGAGTCACTTGAAGTAAGACAAATTAAGAGATATTGGGAAGGACAAACACATGTTCTCTCTCTCTCTCTCTCTCTCTCTCTCTCTCTCTCTGTCTCCTGAATATAAAAGGCTTGGGGAAGCCGGGCATTGGTGGCTCACACCTTTAATCCCAGCACTCGGGAGGCAGAGGCAGGCAGATTTCTGTGAGTTCGAGACCAGCCTGGTCTACAGAGCGAGTTCCAGGACAGCCTCCAAAACAATACAGAGAAACCCTGTTTCAAAAAACAAACAAACAAAAAAGGCTGGGGGGAACATGCATCAATATGTAAACAGAAATTACATGTTAGAACATGAGGGTGCAAGATAGTAAAAGATGTACAACTTAGTGTTAATTTTGAATGCACATTAGAAACATGATATATAATATTACTATAACCATGAGCATGTTGCACTCAGGAATATGGTGACATGAAAAATGACAATGGATTTGAGAAAGGAAATGTTTTAAGGAAAAAAGTCTTGACTACAATATGAAATACAACCATATTTCATTATGTATGAAATTAATTTCACATATTACAAATATAATCATTTAGCCCCTTTTAGGTAACTTCTGTGCTTTCTTCAGACAAGTTAACCTAAGCTGTTTTTGAGTGAAGATTCATGGACATTGATAACACAACTTTATAAAATTCAAATAGGCATTTCCCTTTTGGAGGACCTCCTGGACTTCAGCTTTAACAAAACTGTTAGCATTTACTACAAATGTTATACAGTAAATCTTGGCTTCTTGTCCTTAATAACACATTTACAAGGCAAAATTGTTATTTTTGTTATCTTTCTACATCAATTTTTTAAAACTGTGTAATGTAGTCTCAAAAGACAGTATGTTGTCATCAAAAATTAGTTCTATTGTAGTTAGAATATTTCTATCAAGGAAACCTAAAGAAATTGGAGAAACAATAGGCTAGTACTCTAGCATGCAATCCCTTGTCTTTAAAGGAGATATTTTAGTCAGAGACCCCATTTATTGGACCGGCACATTCCCTCACCCCAACTCTACCTATACATCCCTTGAGAAACAGGATAAACAGATCTGAGGTGAAGGGCTAGAAAGTTAGAAGATGATGCTGATAGGGGTGGCCTAAAAATTATGAATTTGGAATTAAAATGAGTGACCTACAAAATTCTTGCCCTATTTTATGATAAGATAAATTTAACTGACTTACCAAATTTTCATTCATCTCCTGTAAGTCCTTCAGTTGATTTGAGCTCTTTGGTCCTGAATTGCTAATGACTTGAATATCTGAAATTGCAAAGGTCCCTTGATAGTATTCCATTTTCTGGCCTGTGATGATAATGAAAAGTAGAATATACATGATCTGTACAGACTTCAGACTCTAAGACCTGACTATAATGGGCCTGAAATGAAGTCTTCAATATATCACCAAGCTTATTTTACTTGAATTTAATAAAGATATAGTAAATAAACATAGTTTTATGTTAACGGTAGTAACTGATATCTGTTGAATCTTTGCTATGTGCATAAAACTGTTCTGTCATGGCATCACATATGTCATTTGATCAGAATTCCAGTTTCTTGAGATTGGCATCACTTCCAGCTTATAAAGGTGGAAAATAAGACACAGTAGCATTAAATACCTTGATGTTTGTCATACAATTAGTAGGTGGCCTTTTTGAAAGTTTCATTCTTATGCTGTAGTCCTAGAGCTTGGATGTTCATTGCTGTTTTTTGTGCTTTGTTGGAGTGTAAGCCATCCATGAATATAGGTAAATGAGCATTCTTGTACACTTTTACTTGTGGTGAAAGACCCAAGTACAATGAAGGAAATCACAAGGACAAACACTGTCAGAGATTGCAAGTAAAAACAGTTTGTGACAGAGGTGTCAATCAGCTCATTTTCTGGTTATCAGGGATGAAAAGAGATCAGAGCACGATGCCAAACAGTACTTCTATAGTTAGAGATGCTTTTGTACATTCAAATGAATAGACTTGTGTATGTACCTTTTGTCATTCGTATAAACTACTATTGGGGTTTCAGTATGAGTCATAGAATATGGTAGAAAGTCATTTCCTCTCCTAAAACACGTGTCACCCCTCACCAAGTCTTTAAAGATGACACCAGATAAAACCGTTCAAGTAAGCAGCTTGAGATATTTGTTTTTATTGCATACATTCATTATCTGAGTGTGCCATTGCGGAGATTTGTCAGAAAGATGAAATACAGAGAGAATTTTAAAATGCACTATTTGCATTAATATAAACATATTAGACAATAAACACAAAATCAGTAAATACAGTTTGGGGAAGAGAAAAAATTTAAGAGTAAGTGATATTGAGTCATAGTTTACCTGTGATTTAAAAATTCATTATTTTATCAGACATGTGGTTTTCCCTAGAAATTCTTCTGGGCAGAGAACAATGTCCAAAAGTAAACAAACCAATTTTGATAGCACATTTATCATAGTCTTTCTTCTTGATGTGCAGTAGATAGTAAGATTTGCTTTGTCTGACTGCCTGTAACCCATGGAAAAGGACTATTTTTGTTATTATATGTAGATTCTAAAAAACATTGTACCTCAGCAAGAGAGAATCTTTTATACTTTGCTGAATGCTGTATCATAAGCACCCAGAAAAGTATTTGCATCAATAGTGGTACAATAATAATTTGTCTCTGAAATGACAGAATAAACTTTAAAGTAAGAGGAGACAGTCCCATGTGAAAATATGAATCTCATTTACAGGTATGTAAGTCATGCTGTCCTATGTAAGAAAATGAAATTACCGATTCTTCCTACCAGAGACTAAGACATGAGCCAGAAGTCCAATGGTCACTGCCACCATCATCAGGGCGAGTACTGTAAGAACGGTAATTATCCATTGCTTCAGATCTCTGTTGTAGGTGCCATGTCCTCCTGCTCTGCACAAAGGAAGTCCACAGTTACTCTCATGTGGGAGTAGTCACAGCTTTTCTAGTTGTGCTTGGATAAATTCACACTGCTACATGCCTCCTTAACAGCAATAAGACATTATTTTCAATTTTCTTAAGGTTATCTTGATCCTGTGAGGAACTATTAATAATGTTAGACTTAGGAATCATGTTCTTGCCCTGGTTTCTGCTTCTAGTGCTATTTGGTGATACTAATGTGATACCAAACTTTTGTCAGCGGAGGTTCCAATGTCCTATGTATGCTTGCAACCCCTCAGGCTGTATCCTCCAGGGATCTTTTATGTATCAGTCTATCTAAGTTTCACTATTTTATTATATTTTTGCTTTTAGGCACATTGGTGTTTGGCCTGAGTATATGTCTGTGTGAAGGTGTCCGATTCACTGTAACTGGAATTACAGACAGGTTTGAGCTGCTATGTGCTGGTAATTGAATCTTGATCCTCCAGAAGAGCAGCCAGTGTTCTTAACCTCTAAAATATCTCTCCAGTCCCTAAGTTTCACAAACTAAATTCAGATATACTCTTTTATTCACCGTTTAACTAGTGTGAAATTTTAAACATGGAAAATTAGAAAAGTATAAATAAATACATTCATCTTATGATTTTATCCATGACATTCTTGTTATTCACTCATTTTTACCCCTGCATTAATAGTGTGAATCAAGATATTATGACCTTTTATCAAGTCCTAACTATAAACAAGCTATTTTCAATTTCACATTAGCTCTTCTAATATTGATAGAGTTCTAATATCTTCTAATGGCCAGTCCACCCTTAGACTGCTTTTTGTCTTCATAGAATTTACTGTTGTTTTACACAGGCCAGCATAGAATCCAGTGTTATATAGGTCAATGCAGAGTACATGGTAACTATGGCTTTTAAGTCTTTTTTAAGGAAAAACAGCCATGCTTGACTTGAAGTTTGGGTGTCATTCACTTGAAGAACTCAATCTAACAGTCTTTAGACAGATTTTTCTTCTGTTCTTGTCTGATGCTTCCTTGTGGTATCTATCAATCAGCTTGCTTTTGCAATTTCCTTTTAAATAGAATTTATGTTCTAAAACCTTCAGTAGGTTTGTGTTAGATTCATTTGACACAAATACTTTATATGTGATAATATGCACTTTTTATTTCATTCAACTAAGAGTAGAGAAAATTGTCACAGTTCTGGATGAAAGACTGTCTTTCTTTCATTAACTTTTGATGAACAAATGTGTCCCTTGTACTATATCAAGCAGTGGCATGAGTGTTCACTTCAGTGTCAACTGGAACTCCTCAATGGAGTGCACCAGGTTAGGTCATCTTTTACCACAAAAACCCAATGAGGAAACTGGTATAGAATAAAATTTTATAAACTTATAAACCACAAGCAGGTTAAACCAAGCTTATATATGAATTACAAGAGCCTAATTACAAAGGTCAGAGGTCATTAGGCCCTCTAACTCTAGTGATCCATTTCAATAATTTTCCATGATAGTAGTCTTGTTTGCCTGTTGTTAGCTTATCATTTCATGTTTATACATTTATAATAATATTTCATCATGAGCAAAAGATGATCTTCATATTTACTGCACATAGTTTATTAAAATGATTTATAAGTAAAGTTTTAGTGTATAGTGAATATTTTTTGGAATATGAAGCAATCTTTGTAAGTTAATGGTAAGATAACATTAAGATATTATTAAGAAACCTAAATAATAAGTAAAGTGACAGATTTCAGATGGATATGCCAGAATAGATGGGAAAAGCACACAACACCTACACAGAGACCTACAGGCAACCAAAAATGGCTAGGAACAGGAGAGATGGTCCTCCGTAGGTAAGGATATACCGACGGATTATTCAATGCCAAGTTTGTATGCTCTGAAAACTTACATGCAAATAATATTACATGGACTGAGCAGATTATATTTAGGATGTTCTATTCATGTATGTAATAATAATAATAATTGCATAATGAATGTATATATACACATTCATATATGCACGCCATAACAATAAATGAAAGAAGAGGCGTGAATTTGCAGGGCAGTGGGGAGGAGTATATGCAAGGGTTTGGAGGGAGAAAATGGAAGGCAGTAAAGTTGTAATTACACTACAATCTCAAAATGTAAAAGAATACATTTATCCTACAAGCCTTAGAAGCATAAATTCTGTGTATAGAGAATATAGACTATGTGAACAATGCTTGATTAAAAGTAATGCTAAAGAAATGCTCTATGTTCTCTGACTGATGCAATCTAACACACTCAGTTGTAACAGCAAACATACGCTCCACCCACCAAATAAGATATCCTTTCACCTTCTATATGGGTTGGTGCTTAAATTCAGGATGAAAGAAACCTTAAGAGATGTTTTACTATAATTTAGTCACACTCTGAAAGAAGACACTTATATTCAGAGAGATCAAGTGATTTGTCTCCCATAACAGAAATTGACGATTTCTCAAACTAAGTTCTTTTGACTTCTAGAACACAGATTCCCGGTGGCCGACTATCTTTCAGTCAGCTATATTTTGGATTCTTAGGTGAGCTTATAGTTTACATGTTCATTTATTCATGAATATATGAGGAAGCTTTTCTATGGCTACTTTGGAAGAGTTCAATGGCCAAGAAAACGGGACTTCATATCAGCTTCAAGGGACTGTGTTCTGCCTCAATGGGACCCCTTCATGGACTCCTATTAGTGTGCCCAAACAAAAGTTGTTCATAGACAAAAAGGTTTAACTTAAGAATATGTACAAGCCTTCAAATCTATCCATTTTCTTATCCTACAACAGTTCTTCTGAACACACCAAATAGAGAAAGTCAATTGTGAAAAATCATATCCTTACTACTCAGGTGTTTACACACTGTGGCAGGGACTCACAAGTGAGAATGACTAGGTCAGCTTCACTGTTTGCTGCTGACGAGATAAGTGCCATATGAGTTGCATCTTCAAATCCCACAGAGAAGCTGTAAACATCTGGGTACCAACAAACTGGAATAAGAACTTTCATTTAAAGTGTTATATTTGGGGGAGTCTGGAGATGACTGAGTGGTTAAAAGTGCTTGCTGCGCTTACAGAGGACCCAAATTCGGTGCCCACAGCTCATGTCTGGCAGACCACAACTGTCTGTTACTCCAGCTCCACAAAGAATCTCTGCTCCCTTGTGCACTTACACTCACATTCACACACACACACACACACACACACGCAATGAAATGAATTGTTATATGTTTTAGAGAAGTTTGGGGGACTACAGGCCCCATATAGCTTTGATTAAGGCAAGCTGCAAAGCCCTAAGTTAACGCTACTGCTATTTAATCCTACAGTGAATAAACACTTCATTTCAGACCAACTTTTGGTGGATACAAACATGAAATGCAGGAAGGCAAAGAAACACACCATTATCTTCCCTTTCTGATCAGGCTCCATTAGTCATCTGCTTAAGATCACTTCAGATTAGCAAAGAAATACTTAGTAAAGCTGTTTGGAGTCTAGCCTGTCTGTAAATGGGTGCCCCATTTTGTTAGACATTGTTTCCCTTACCAGATTTGCTAGTGCTGTCAAAACAAACACAGGTGTATCCATTTTCTATCCCAGAGTAACTAATTACCCCAAAATTAGCAGCTCAAAGCAATACCCAGTGCTCTGTGACATGGCTGGCTCATCTCATTCTCTCTCTCTCTCTCTCTCTCTCTCTCTCTCTCTCTCTCTCTCTCTCTCTCTCTCTCTCTTTCCTTGAATACTATGTGTTTGGGTTGTTTACTTTTATTCTCACTTTTGAGGTCATATTTCAATTACATTTCTCCCTTCCCTTTCCTTCCTCCAAATCCTCCCATATACCCTTCCCAACCCTCCTTTAAATTCCTGAACTCTTTTCCACTAATTATTATTACATGTATATATGTATAGGTTTATACATGTATTCCCAAACAGAAGAAATTCAGTCTGTATAATGCATATGTTTCAGGGTTGACCATTAGGCCCTGGACAACCCAGTGTTCATGGTCTCTTATGACTGAGGTCTAGATTCTGGTTGGGGCTGCTTTCATAGTCTTTGGATTTTGACCAATTTCAAAGTTTGGTAGAGTATCAGACAGGTCAATTTCCTCAGGTGAACTGAAGTCAAAATAATGCCTAGTCTTTACTTTTTTCTTTTTTTATTGGTTTTTATGAGACAGGGTTTCTCTGTATTGAGAGGTTGTCGGTCCAGCCCGGCCTTGAACTCACAGAGATCCACCTGCCTCTGCCTCCTGAGTGCTGGGATTAAAGGCATGCACCACCACCAGCAGCCTAGTCTTTTCTTAAGATATCAGCGGATAACACTTATCCAAAGATAATATCCCATTCTTTCAAATAATTTTTCTAGGAACATCATTACATCTGTAAAATCCCCTCACAGCATCTAGACAGGCATTTGATTCATATTCCTTCTCCTGGAGACAGCTTATGTACAAGAGAGGGTGGGGTGTTGGAGATCATCTTGGGATTTGGCCCCACTACAACTAAAAATATAACAATTTTAATAAGAGTAACTAAGTGCAGCATTTTAGGGAAAGCATTTGCAAACTGAACTGTAAGACTGGTAGTGAAGAACTGTTCCATGAGAAGGGAATTATAAGACAGGCATTGAATAAAAAGAACAGGAGGGAATGTTTTATTCCAGCAATGTTTTTAGACACACAGAGTGAACTCTTAGAAATTAAAATGAGGAAAGAGCTAAAGCTAATCCCCTGTCATGCTGTAATTGGCATTTTGCATTCTTCTGGGGACCAAGAAAGTACAAATGATCCCTATTCTGAACTGCACAACCTATAATCTCCATGAAGCCCAGTTCGTCACATCCATTACATTCATTAGTCAGTTTTGAGAAGGGTGTGTTCGTGGCCTGTTTTCCTTTTTAAGATGCTGTCAAAGAAATATGGTACTAATTCAATAATGTGACTTTGCTTGTAAATCTTGCAGATTGAAAGGCAGAGAGTGAGAA